CTACGTCTCATATTCAAATTTGGTGATGAATTGGTCCAGAAATAGATATTTAACCTAGTGGTATTTTACATGGGCGCATGGATATTTTTGGCCATTGGGGTGGCCGCTGAGATGTATCTTGATTTTTGTATGTGACTCTTATCCGTATGTAATATCCGGAGGCAGTTGGGACCTTTAACCTCCCACTGCAGTGATAAAACGCATAAATTCGGTATTTAACGTTTTGGGTTTTGGGTTTAACTACATTAATTGTACGTTAAATAATAAAACCTCGACTCTTCGATTTGGCCAGTTGGAAGTTTTTAGATGACGTGCATCATAGTACTTTGGATTTGAAAATACACATAATACAGAATTCGTAAGGTGAAACAGTATGTTTAGTAGGCTCGCAAGGTGAGCTGCCTTACGAATTCCATAAATCGATCTGAAATAGTTCAAAATTTATTGAATGAAGCTTCATCTTTGTATGGAATAATTTAAATTCCTTTAAACGCATCTTATTGATGAGTTCGTAAGGCAGGCTGCCTTACCAAATTTCTGTCCAATTATATGATAGAAAAGTAAAAATAACTGGCCAATAGGATCGTTCTATTCGCTTTGCTGCATTGCTAGCTGTAGGCTGCAGCTATTGGATTGTGAGCTACAGTACTAGAATGCGACCCCTTGCTCCTATCCGCAAGCTTGAGCCTGGGCGATGGTCATGCAGTACGACTTGGTCCTCGTCTTGTCGCAGCATTGGTAGTGGTTGTTCTTGGCGTAGTGGGCGCTCTGGTGGAAGTGCTGGGCTCGGGTGCTGTCGCACATGCCCCCGACTTTGGTCGTCTTACTAGTTTTGCATCTTGGCATGAACCAAGTAATCACATGGGTCAAGCTCGTCAACTACTGGTACTGTAAATAGGTCGTTTACAGCAATTTACTCGTCGATCCCGAAACCCCGAAACGTCGCGGGCAAACGACTTGATTTGGTCAAACTTTTGGTGACTATGCCCCGATAATATGATTCTTACTGACGGTAATTTTACCCATCACTTCCTCATTTTGACTTGGAAGGACCTTGGGGTTGGCCCCAGTCCACCGAAACCATGAAGTAGTACTGGAGTGATGCTGCTGGTCCTTCCTAACGAGAAATTCGCATCGACCATTCGTCATTCGATGTCGACTTCAATAAGCACTAAGGAAACATGCTAGTGAGTGTACTCGAGAGTGTGATGAACTGCTGACATGAGCATTAAGCTGATGGTGGCACGAGGTGTTTGAGTCGCTGTATTTTTGAAAGCGATAAAATGATCGTCTTGACCAATTATACGGCAAAGAAACCATGCACTCTGATTGGTTAATAACTCGAAGTAAGGCTTACGAATTCCACAAATCGAGTCATTTTTTTACAGTTAATGGACATATTAATACGAAACACAGTACTACTGTACTGCTACACAATGCCCAAACACGGAATCGCAACGGCGACCTACGCATTGGACGATTCAAGGGCTTTCTTGACCTTGGGGTTGTGGCTAGCCAAGTCGTCGACAGCAGACACCAGGCTAACGCGGTCCTCGTCTTCGATGGTTTCCCCCACTAGTTCGGCAACAATGCGGCAAACGATCGTGTCGCACGTGACATTGACTAACGTTTTGAACCGGTCAATGAACCAGTCTGTGGCGACGATGAACGCGAAGGTCGAAGGCAGGGGCACGCTGGAGAAGACACTGGCCCAAATCGTCATGGTCATCACGATGCCGGCAGCAGGCACAGGACCAGCACCCACGGCACCGATGGTGGAAACGAGAACGATCAAGAAGTACTCAGTCGTGCCAATGATGTGGCCAATGCCTTCGGCTTCCGCCATGAACACAATGCTAATGGGGTAGACTAGGGCACCTCCGTCCATGCCAATGGTGGCGCCAAGGGACAAGACAAAGCGAGAGAGGGGTTGCGACACTTCGCGGGTCGCGTCAACGCACTCCATCACCACGGGAAGCGTGGCCATGGACGACGCACAGCCGAACGCGAACGTTTGGGCGCGGGCCATCTTATTGATCCACTTGTACGGGTTGGTCTTGACAAACGACCGAAGAAAGATAGGGTAGAAGATGTACGTGTGCACGAAGAGACTGAGGAGCACGCAGAGCACGAACAGACCGACGTCCGACACGAGCAGCTTCAAGTTGGATTGTGCAGAGATCGACGACGCCAAAAGGGAAATGATGGCGATGGGGGTGCTCGCAATCACCCACGTGATCATCTTCATAAAGACGATATTGATGGCGCGGAAGAAATCGGCGACCACCGTCAAGTCGCGGGGCAGGAGCGCAATGGCCACGCCAAACGGGATGGCAAACATGATGATGGACAGCAACGTGGCGTCCGCGAACGCTTGCGTGATGTTGGACGGTACGATCGCATTGAGTTGCCCTTGCAATGACTGGGAGAGCGTGCGCTGGGTGAAACCTGTGTTCCTCTTGGCAAAACTGCGATGGATGTCGTTGGCGACAAACACAGACGACGGGGAAAATGTGCTAGTCTTGTTGTAGTTTTCGTCGTACACGCAAGAGACGTTGGCACCGACATGTGTGAGGAAGTGGCCGGGTTCTTCGCACGCAAAGGCAAACTCGGTGGCCTTGACTTCAATGCTCTTGGACTTGTTGCCAAAGCTGGAGCGGAAGAGCAAAACCCACAAGAGGCCTTCGGTCGCCCCAATCATCGTGGTCGTGATGTACAGCAAAGCCGTGCGCCATCCTATGCGGGACGCCTTGCCTACAGCCAACATGTCCGCCATGCCTACAAGCAAGCTGCAAAACACCAATGGGGTGACCAAACACTTGATCGCGCGAATGAAGAGAGAGCCCGGAACCCCAATCCAAGACACGACCTCCTTGCTGGGTGACGTCGTTTGGATTAGCGCGCCAAGGGCAATCCCGATGGCAGCGCCAGTGAGAATGCCGGGGATGCCAAAGTAAAATTCCTTGATGCGGCTGCGCTTCACAGGTGGTTCGGGGGTACTGTCTATCGGGAGGTGCGAAGCCACCGCCGAGGGGTTCTCAACGACATCGTATGTTGCCATTGTTTCCAGGGGCAAGCAAACGAAGAGTGAGCGATATGTATGGTAAAATTCCGAGGAGGAATAATATAGTATATTGCTAGTAGTCGATTCAGGTGGTTTCAATACAATAGTTTACTCCGGAGTACGTACAGTAGTGTGTACTAGTAGAGTATACTACGTTGTATATACTCTGGGAGTAATAGGTTGAGATTTGTGAAATTATAAATTTGGGTGCCGACGAATTATAAAAGCTCGCAAGTTTTCCTTCGCCCATTAAATACCTCGCATAATCTATATTTTCCCAGTCATATGTATTTATTTACATATGTATTTATTTACTGGTAGTAGTATACCTAGTATACTAGTAGGTTACCTCGACCAACATCATCACGTCGCGACTTTACAGGTGAACCAATACAGTATCCAAGTATGGACGTATGGGAAGATGTTTGACTGCTCAAGTTCATGACTGTATGATTAACAAGCATAATAATGTAAGATTAACATCAATAGGTAGTTGGACGTAATGCATAATAAGGTTGCGGACCACGAATGACTGCTTGTCAGTATGTATATGACCTTGGGTCGCCGTTCGTCATGGACGCCAATAACCCATTATGCCTTTAGTACCGTCTACATGCGAGAACCCTCGTACATACTTGTGTCCTTGGTTCGTTAGCGTGCGGTAACAGTATGAACCGTGATGTGTTGATGCAGGACTTCTGGGGCAGCAGTTGTGCATGAAAACACCCCGGCCACATTCCTTCCTTTTGATACACCCGCTACTGCAGCTTGTACTGTAAACTCTTCTATCAAGCAACGCGACAGTGTATAAGCTTAGTGCGATATAGCGCAAGGGTCACGTCCAAAATGGCGCAATTGATGGATGTGGCGGGGCCATGAGGATGTGCGGATTTGATGGAGCGTAGAAACCACCGACTGTTTTGTCAGATACTTCGGTAGTAAAATATTATTTTGTCATTGTAAGCAATTTACATTTGTTAGTGCAAATTTTTCCTCTCTATTTCTTGTACCTCCATAAAACGATTAATTGGGTTTTCAAATAATAGTCACAACCCCGCACGCCATTCGCATCACTTACATCCAAACGTACAACCAATATCCATATGGTGACCCATACGGATATTTGGCACGTAAACCGATATACTGGTGCTACGTACAGTATAGTACTACCTGTAGTAGTATACTAGTACTAGTACTGCGTTGTACCTTCTACGGTATTGTTCGTTGAACAACCAACGGGAAAGCTTCCTCGCCATGACAGGGTCCCCCCGTCGCAACACTAGGTAAGAGGTACATGTCCCAGAGGCTTGCACCATCAAAGTCCTTCAAGCTGAATAATTCCCTGTTTAACTTACAGTTAGTGTAAAGGAGTACTGGTACCACTGCGGTTTTGACCCGAAATAACGTTAACGTTACCGTTGGAAATACAGGATACACTTTTTCGCCCGTAGCCCTGTAACCTGGGGGCTCCGTCCTACCCCCAACGAGTACATACGATGCGGAGTCCCCGGGGTTATCTCCATCGCCAGCGGTGAGCTCCCGCTATGTACAGTAACCAATAAGATGCTAGTAAGAGGTGGGGTGGTCAGGGTACTATCAGTAAGTTCTGAACAAACACGCAAATTGGAGACAAATAACAGTGGTACCGGTACTGTTTAATGAGGGATTGTACAGTAAGTGCAGTTGTATGCACGCGTTCCGTTTGGATTTGAATTCGACATGCAGCGCCGCATATCCCTGCATGAACTTGAACTAGTTCATGTTACGTACTCCGGAGCATTAGCACTTCAGTAGTGCCGAGCTCAAAGGGGTCGATGCTATGTGTCGCTCCAACCTTCGAATATGAACGTTTACAGCTGTGCTACGTTTGACAACGCTTTCGTACACCTGTGACCCGTCGTGATCAACAAATACCATTGGCTGGAATGTAACGTCGATCTCTGTGTTCACCCATAGTCGCATACAGACAGTATCGTGTCAACCCGAGGTTCTACGGCACACAATCCGGATAACCTTTGTCCGATTTTTTGTAAATACCTCGTTTTTCGAGATAAATATTACTGCTAGCTGATAAGCTCCTCCGCCATTCCTTTGCTCCATTCATATTCATCGGAGCATACGAGTACTCTGCAGAAGCGGTTCCTTGAGGGGCAAGTTTATCCCCCAAGGTATTTTGTCCGGATAAATGTTATCCGGGCAATGTCGTGAGATCCCCACCACATTCTGAAAGTACACCGTGAGATAAACAGGTTACAGAGTACTGATCGTAGTTTTTCAGCAGGGTATACTAGATGCTCCACGTACACTTTAAATAGGATTAATACGTTGATTCTTCCTCAGTTCTCCCGCATGCAACGAATGGTTCAAACGTCGCAGTCACCCACATCACAAAGGCCAATATATGGCGAGAATTCAGGCTCGTCACGGGTTTGTCGCAAGGACACGCCACGCCTGTATCAAGGTACGAAACCAAGACAGAATAATTCCCTCATTAAAACAGATCCACTGTTGTTTTGACCCGAAATACTGTTTTTCAATGAGGGAATTCTTACATCCAGATACACCTTTTCTCTAGTAGCTCAGTAACCTCCTACCCCCGGTGAATACATACGATGCTAAATCTCCAGGGTTAACTGCATCGCCAGTGGTCAGCTATCGCTAACCACTGAGATGCACTTAACCCCTAGTAAGAGGTGAGGTGGTGTGATCATACAAAGTTCCATAGAAACCTCTTAGAAACAGTATTTCGGGTCAAAACAACAGTGGAACTGTTTTAATGAGGGAATTGTACACCAAGACACCATCTTGATTCTTGATTGTGAAACCACGTGTCCAAAACAGCCGAGCATGTATGTACCTGCTGGACAGGTACACGTTCAATGATTGTACCGCTTCAAGATCTACCAGTAGGCGCCAGTAAAGCACCAGAGTTTATCTGTAGGACGACTTAGTTATCGTCCGGGTTCCAGTAACTACAGTAGTGTGATAGGCAAGTAGGAATCCAAGGCCAAACGGACAGCGTCCTTGTAGATTTGACTGTCGTTGATCACTTGATACCCCATGCGACATGTATATATACGTGTCGCGGCCCGAGACAAAGTTGAACCCCAGTCGTAGCTAGTGACCGTTTGATGTAACATGTAAAAAATGTTGAGCACGATCATCAACAATAGGCAAGCGAAACCACTTCTGCCACGAAATTCGTCAGTCATTTTTCAATTGGTCCTTGTTAACCATGGCGGCATTTGAATCTGTCGAGACACCGACGGCCGCCGTGTCGCAAGTCAACTTGTCCCCCGAACCCCCTGTGAAGCGCAACCGCATCAAGGAATTCTACTTTGGCATCCCTGGTATTCTCACCGGTGCCATCCTCGGGGTTGCCCTTGGGGCGCTCCTCCATTCGACGTCGCCCAGCAAGGAAGTTGTGTCTTGGATTGGGGTTCCCGGCTCCCTCTTCATCCGCGCGGTCAAGTGTTTGGTCACTCCGCTGGTGTTTTGCAGCTTGCTCGTGGGCATGGCGGACATGTTGGCCGTGGGCAAGGCGTCCCGCATTGGCTGGCGAACGACTTTGCTGTACCTCGCAACCACGATGATTGGGGCGGTCGAAGGCCTCTTGTGGGTGTTGATCTTCCGCTCTAGCTTTGGCAACAAGTCCAAGAGCATTGAAGTCAAGCTCACCGAGTTTGCTTTTGCCTGCGAAGAACCCGGCCATTTCCTCACGCATGTCGGTGCCAACGTCTCTTGCGTGTACGATGAAACCTACAACAAGACCAGCAAATTTTCTCCATCGTCTGTGTTTGTCGCCAACGACATCCACGACAGTTTTGCCAAGAGGAACACAGAATTCACTCGCCGCACCCTCTCCCAGGCCTTCCAAGGACAACTCGATGCGATCGTACCGTCCAACATCACGCAAGCGTTCGCGGACGCCACGTTGCTGTCCATTATCATGTTTGCCATCCCGTTTGGCGTGGCCATTGCGCTCCTTCCCCGTGACGTGACGGTGGTTGCAACGTTCTTCCGCTCCATCAATATCGTGTTTATGACGATGATCATGTGGGTGATTGCGAGTACCCCCATCGCCCTCATTTCCCTCTTGGGGGCGTCCATCGCTAAACAATCCGACTTGAAGCTGCTCGTGTCGGACGTCGGTCTGTACGTGCTCTGCGCGCTCCTCAGTCTGTTCGTCCACACCTACGTGTTCTACCCCTTGTTCCTGCGCGCTTTCGTCAAGGGCAACCCGTACTCGTGGATCAACAAGATGGCCCGCGCCCAAACTTTTGCATTCGCGTCTTCGTCGTCCATGGCCACGCTTCCCGTGGTCATGGAGTGCATTGACGCGACCCGCGAGGTGACGCAAACCCTGTCGCGTTTTGTCTTGTCCCTTGGTGCGACCATTGGCATGGACGGAGCGTCTCTTGTGTACCCTATCGCGATTGTGTTCATGGCGGAAGCTGAAGGCATTGGCCACATCGTTGGCGCGGCCGAGTACTTTTTGATCATCCTTGTTTCTACCATCGGTGCCGTGGGCGCTGGCCCAGTGCCGTCGGCTGGCGCCGTCATGATCATCACCATTTGGAGCAGTGTGTTCCCCAGCGTGCCCCTGCCTTCTACCTTTGCGTTCGTCGTCGCCACGGATTGGTTCATTGACCGGTTCCAAACCTCCGTCAACGTCACGTGCGACACGATCGTGTGCCGCATCTTGGCCGAACAACTCGGCGAAACCATCAAAGAAGAGGACCGCGCTAGTCTGGTGTCTGCTGTCGACGACTTGACGACCCACAAGCCTGAACTCCGAAAGGCCATTGACTCGTCCACCGCCCGCGAATAAATGCTGTCTATAAATACATAGTAATAAATGTACTTTTCAAGTAACTATAAGTTACTAGGTGGCGTTGGGCAATGCATGGGGCTTCAACGTAGTCATGACAAGCATGCAGGTTGCCATGAGCCCCGTCACATCCCTCGAATTGGCCCCCCTGGCCTGTGTACATCCAGTCTGCACCGTTGTTCATGTACTAGTATAGAATAAACTTCGATACTAAAATACAGTAACCCCCACAACAATTTACTCCGACATGATGTGTCGTCCTGTTGGTCGTATTCAATCCACGTATCGTGAGTATCGAACCGTCCAAGTCGTTGATCAAAGCCACTCCCTTTTCATTTGAAACGTTGGCGGTTGGTTGGACATTCCATTATTGGTAACGTAAACAACCAGTTTAAGATAACTTACTGTTAACCAATTTAGGATAGGGTATTTCTCAGGATCGTCCATCCCTGTCCGATATTTCTCAAGATCATCCATCGAGAAATATTATTATTCCAAAGGAGGGAAAGCAATTCCATTGGTCAAAAGTAAATCGAGTCAAACAGTAAAACCACTCGAACTTATTTCACGTTTTGCGGCCGACCACAGACTTTTGGGCAGGCGACAGTTGCACACAGCCGTCCTGGTCCGACGATGCGACACCGGACACATGAGGTAGCGATTGCCATTCACTTTACCTGTATGCCAGGCTCATCCTCTTGCCGTAGCAGCACATCAAGCCGTTAATGCCCGCGCCGCGGCGACCTTGCGCATGAACCCGGACACACGCGCACGGCAATCGCTACCTCATGTGTCCGGTGTCGCATCGTCGGACCAGGACGGCTGTGCGCAACTGTCGCCTGCCCAAAAGTCTGTGGTCGGCCGCAAAACGTGAAATAAGTTCGAGTGGTTTTACTGTTTGACTCGATTTACTTTTGACCAATGGAATTGCTTTACCTCCTTTGGAATAATAATATTTCTCGATGGACGATCTTGAGAAATATCGGACAGGGATGGACGATCCTGAGAAATACCCTTTAGGATAACTTTGTATTGCCCAATCACACCTCGTTATTTGTTCTAGTCAAAACCTCTGTCATATAATGCTGACGATTTCGTCACGTGAATGAAATGCAAAAACGGCGTAGAAACCATTGGTAACTGTCATTCAAGATTGGTTTTGAAGTACCCTAGTCGACATGGCCCACATTGGGTTGGATCTGAGGTTTTATCGAGTGTTCAACTCGGTGGACATCCTTCCACAACAGAAATATAACTCTATAAAACAGTACCCTTGTATAAATTATATTCAGCCTGTTGTAACCGCTTACCCTAAACACAGAATTTCAATGCACCGACATATACATACTTTAAGATAAAAAAGTTATCCTAAATTGGTTATCAAAATGTGAGTACAAATGCTTAGAAAGTAACAAATTTACCTGTGATGTTCTTCGTCTAAGCTGATAATTTGATTATGAACTGAAAGTGGAGCGTCTTGTCTACTGTATTGGAATCACCTATTCAAAACTCAAATATCGTAACGGACTCAAAAGTTAAGTCCATTCTACTCCGACGCCTCCAAAAAAGTTATCTTTAAATTGGTTTTATGGCTTGTGGCTATAGTAAAAGCAACAAAAGGTAGCCCCATACTTTTTACACGTGTAATACTTGACTGCACTTTTCCTTGCAATATCCCGATATATTTGGTTAACTAATACAACGCCGACCGTTGGGTGGAATGCGCCGCGTCCGATCTGTCAAACGTTAGGTTGCTTTCAGCCGTCTTGAACTCGGTCACGCGAGGCTGCTGGGTCGAGTTGTTGAACGAGCCATACATGCGATCATAGCGCCGTTTGGCGTCAATCGAAGCGGATGGTCGGGACGCCGCCAGGGCTTTCTGGACGTGCGACGCGCAAACCTTGGACGCGTGATGCGGAACCTTGGGCGAAAAACTCACAGAGTCGCTACGATCCAATGACTTTGAGAACCCAATAATAGTATTCCGATCATTTAAGGAATATGCACCTACCTGGAATCTTGGAACTCCATGTCCCAGTCATCTGCGAAAGGAATGGATGCATGCACGGCTTCGAGTTGGGCAGCGTACATGACCTAACATATATATATATCAACACAGATATTAACCATATGACGTGGCAACACGTACGGCTTGCAAATCGGCGCCAGAATACAGCTCTGTTTGTTGGGCGACGGATGGCAACACCATCGACACGTCATCGGCCAAGTCCATCTTTCGACTCACGGCTTGCAGAATGTCGAGCCGATCTTGTACATTTGGGAACCCTATCCAAGCCCCCGACGAATCCAATAAGTCAGTCTCACGCGCATTGCCATGATAACGAAACGATGTATGTACATTCATACCGCAATACAGGCTCTTGTCCAATCGACCAGGACGAAGCAAGGCCGGATCAATCATGTCTGGGCGACTGGTCGCTGCGAGGACATACACACCCTGAAGCACACGCATACAAATCCAAGTGAGAGCACGAATCAACAAGTCGGATTCTCACCTGACGTGACTCGACGCCATCCAAAAACGTCAGCAGCTGATTCACCACGCGGTCCGTGACGCCCGTGTTGTCTGCCCCTCGTCGAGGTGCCATCGCATCAAACTCGTCCAGGAAGAGGACGCTTGGAGCGGCCGCCGCCGCGCGCGCAAACAAATCTCGGACCGCTTGTTCACTCGCGCCAATGTACTTGTTGAGGACTTCCGGTCTACATGCATAGTCATACAAAGAGTGCCCCAATGATAATTATACATGTATGGTTGGTTACCCTTTGACGCTGATGAAATTGAGCCCACATTCGTTGGCCACGGCGTTCGCAAGCAACGTCTTGCCACACCCAGGGGGGCCAAAGAGAAGCAGCCCCGACGGCAACTTGATCGGCGCCGCCGCATACAACCTGCCGTACCTACGAGCTGTATTAACAAAATACTACTAATAGTAGAATCGGGACTAACTTGGTAGGTAATTCTAGCGTGTCTTTGAGGGTCTGGCGGATGTCGTGCAGCCCGCCAATGTCGGACCACTGCACCGAGCTCTTAAACAGTTCCACTCCCCGCAACGCCGCCGGTGTAAAGCCTTCCAGACCTGCCAACAAATTCAACGACATTCGATCTTGCGTGGTCGATTGCCGGGTACGAATGGTGGCGTGGTGCACTGCCCGATCTACCACTTGTGTCAAGTCGCGGACACTAAACCCCTCCGTCTTTTGAACCGCCCCCTGCACTTGTTCGTCTGTGGGGGGATAAACCGCTTCAGCCCGGTTCACGAGCCCACGGAGGATGCATTCCCGGGCGACTGCGTCTGGCAACGACAGCGCTATGGGGCGATCAAAGAGGCCGCATGTGCGAAGTAGGGGGTGCATCGATTGGGCTTCTCGCGCAGTGGCCACCACCGCCACGCTTTTCTTGGAGCACGCCGTGGCAAACACTGGCCAGTTGGAGTCGCAGGTTGAGTCGACTTGGCTGACGATGGCGGCGGCATGGTGCTGCATGGCGTGTCGAGTTTGTTTGATGAGCTAACAATGCGTATCCATCAAATCCAGTTTCAAAGTAGAGTATTCACGAGGGAATGTGACAGGGACGTACGGCGGCAACGTGCTCGGCCAGTCGCCGCGACTGCTCCGACATGCCAGCCGCTCCAGAGGTGTCGTCCTCCGGAGGCATGAGGGCGTCAATGTCGTCCAGAGTGACGAGGCACGGCGCCAGGTGCGTGGCTCGGTCAAACGCGGCCGTCAGCGCCGCCTTGACGCTGTCCATCTTGAGTCCACGGAGGTCGCGACAAGGCACGGCCACCGTGTCACACATGACCCCAAACGACAGTTTGCATTTAAACTGCAGCGCCGCCAGGACTGACGACTTGCCAGTCCCCCGCGGACCGTGGAGGACGATCGACCCCGGCGGACTGACGCTGCCCATGCGCGTGCGCACCCCACACCCGTCGCGACCGAGGACCGGAAACAGCCGCTTCCACAACGTCGTCACAATTGGTTCCATACCAGGAAACGTCACGAGTTGGTCTGGGATGACGACGGCACCAACCGCGTCCTGCTGGGTTGCAGTGCCCATAGCTACATCTTGCCGTCGTGGGAGGTAGAACCCGTCCCCCACGATCACATACTCGTCTGGAGATGATGCTGCCGTGGCTAGTCAAGGACGTGGTGGCCATTGAATTACAAGTTAAACACAACGAAATCAACGTACGGGCAGCTGTTTCGTGGTTGGGATCGTTGAATTGAATGGTCACGACGACTTGCATATCGGTGTCGAGTGTGATGCGGTTTTGGCTGGACAACACATACATCAGGCCACACGACTGGCTCCACGAAAGGAACCGATCGATGACGTTATCCATTGCCGACAGTGGGGTCAAGAGGATGCACAGGGGCAGCAACGGGGGGTGCGTCAGCCAGCGCAGCCGGACATGAGCCAGCGACGATAGACCCAACTCGCTTTGAATGGTCGGTGAGAGCCCACACGAATCAAACGCGACGTCTGTGGACGCCCGAAGTCGACCCACGCAGGTTGGACGAGTCCTACACCCAAGTAGAAATCCACATCTAAAGTAGCAGTGTCAGGGGCGTGCTAGCTCTACATACGTGGCATCTGCAGCATCGTCCCACACCGAGGCAACCAGCGCGATGTCCCCCGTGATGTCGTGGGTTCCAAGAAGAGTTGCCACCATCAACGGGTGAATCAAAATTTCATCGTCGTCCATGACCAAGTGGACGCAACTGCCGTTCGGTTTGTAGGTAGTACACGGCTACACGTCGAGGGCGTTCTCATGTGAAGCCAGAAACAATATCATGCAGGTCGTACTTGAATTTTCAGGATTGGCGAAGGCGGCTGCACCGACGACGACAGGGGCTGATCGGATGACGGCAAAGGGGATCGAGTTTTGGGGGATATGTACACTTCAGAGTTTGACGACAGGCGCGCAAATGGGCTACGAACGTGAATGTGAAGCATTCACCCAGAAACATAATCATGAGACAGTGTACATGTCGGACGGAAGGCGGGTGATCAAGTGCACCACTGTGTGTTGTTGAATACGAATGGGAATCACTTGGTTGTGCTGCACCACACAAACCTGCATGGAGAAAGAATTATACGCATATACTGATTGAATATTGAAGAGGTGGTGTGTATATATACCTGCCGCAGGATGTCAGATTCCAAGTATCCTGCGTGGAGTTGGATGATCTCCCAGTCGTCGGGCGAAGATGGCTCCATTTCGACGGACTGCGCCACAGGCATGGACGGCACGACGCTTACGCTAATGCGAAGGCCAGGCATCGCGTCCATGGCGTCAGTCTACCGTAGGATGATGTAGTTATGACGATAATTGCTTTAGAGTAACGTACCAGTTGCATGCATTGTGCGAATTCCAGCGACAGTTCCATGTCGTCACTGCATGATAGACATAACGTTAGCAGACGATCTTGTAAGGTGGATATACCTTTGGGCAATGTCGCCAACCCACCCAACATACGCAGCCTCCACGGTTGCCCCTTGCGGCCAGCTGAACCGAAGGATCGTTGCGCCGAAGTTTGGCTAATGGAAATAGAGCTAAGCTCGAACATGAGCATGGTGAGTCCTACATTGACATGTTGCAGATGCTGGCGGACGAATGACTCCGGAAGGCTCACAAAGCAGGAGCATATTGGAAGCAGTCGCGCCGTCAGGAGGGCGGCAGCGGGATTGTGCATGATGAATTGCGGAATCTCGTGCTTTTGGGATTGTGATTGGGTTACTTGAACGTATTAACGACCAATGGGATTGGAGTATAATATTTTTCAACCAATCCAATTACGTCAATACTTTCAACCAATCCTAGAGCAGTTTACGAATCATTGGACCAATCACAATACAGAAACCAAGACGAACCAATCAGACTTGTGTATTTCCTACATTGTTGCTTTCCCAATTTTGAATGATGCAGAGCTTGGACGACGATTACGACGACTTCTTCAACCCAGCGTTGTTCCTGAATGAAAAGTACGCGGATGCACGTTAGCCTGCCACGTCACTGCATGTTGTAGCTACACCAAGACGGAATACGACTTCGGTGACATCAAGCAGAGTTTGCTAAGCTCGAGAGCTGCGTCAGTACGTGGCCAAAAGTTTTCCCTTCGCCGCATGATGTACTTACTCCCTTGTTAGACCGACCACGACCTGACAGGACAAGTTGTCTGGCCTGTATCCATTCTGCTGTCATGGTATGTCGTGTCGATGATATGTACACGTCCATTCATCAACTTCCATAGGTTCGTCGCAGCGAACCGAGCACTATTCCAAGACAAGGTTGTGCTTGAGCTTGGAGCGGGTGCAGGGTTGGCCGGCTTTGTAGCGTCTCAATTTGCGTGAGTGTTTTCAACAGCAAGATGACGCGGTTGATGGATAGCGCACGGTGTTTAGGTCGCGCACGGCCATCACCGACGGCAACGACGTGGTCCTGCGACTGCTCGACCAGAATGCCGACCAAGCATCCACCGTACGCCATATCCTTTGTATTGTTTTTCCAATGTATCTTGGTTCTTTCATTAGCCATGTGGAGTGTTCAAACTGCTATGGGGCGAAGAAGACAGCGTCGTGCAGTTTCAAAAAGACTTTCCGCATCCCATTGACGTCTTGCTCGGGGCTGACGTCGTGTGCTGGCCAAACTTGGTCCTGCCTCTGCTTCGTACGATCAAGGTATGTGAATTATATGTATATATCAATGTAATTCTTATATATATATATATCGATGTAATTCTTATATATATATAATATATCAATGTAATTCTTATATATATATCAATGTAATTCTTATATATATATCAATGTAATTCTTATATATACTAATTTTATTTATTTATTTAAATGTACTGACGACGGTACATACAATAGCACTTGATGCACCAATCGGAACGGCCATTCGACGTGGTGTTTTACTGTGGCTTTGTGTGCCGGGCGCAGAGCACTCAGGTATGAATGGGGTTATTTGTGTCGACCAAAGTATATATGTATGGTTGATTAACGACATTGTAGGATCTGTTCTTTGCACAAGCCAAAGGAATGGGGTTCAAGCTGTGGAGTGTCCCCCATGGCGACTTTCTACCCACCCCTCGACCGGTCAACGTGACGTCTACGTACGCTTTGATTCTACTCTCTGTGTTTATTCTACCGTTCTTCTCAAAACCACGTTAGACTTGAACTCAACTTGTTGGGATTATCTCTGGATCGTTCCGCCCCGCAAGCCACCGAAAAAGTCGAATTTATCGACAACCTCCAGGACCTGCAAACGGCATGCTAACTCAACATAACGATACGAGTGACGACCTCTGCTCGTGATTGATTGCTTCGTGTAACGACCGATCCCCTCTACTTTGAGGAAGAGACTGTTATGTGATGGTTTTATCAAACAAAAACTAATTTCGTAGTGAGAGAGTATTAACTTTAATTTTATAGCAATTCTCTAAATGTAGCTACTAAAGGTAGTATAACGTTGTATTCTCCATGAATGTCCATGCCAGTCCAAAATGAGTGCTACTGCTTCGCGATAACGATAGACAGGTACAGTAGGTAGGTACCAGGGGCATCGTTTTATGCACAAGATCAGTTAAAGTTAGAGATATTAATATTATTATTCAAAACGGTTACTAACGTAAATGACCAATTTATGATCACTGTACCAATTTATGATCTCTCCGTATCAGCCAATCGCATCGCAATATGTTATGACGGCAAACCTCTCGTAAATTATACGCTCGAGTTTCAAATCCCAAACAAATCCCAATCACAGCTTTGATGGTGACGCAGCG